AACCACAATAGTTGGTGAGACTAAGACCTATTTCTTCTTTCCTGCAATCTTTTAAGCAAACAAGAAAGTTTAAGTTTTTTTATAATGGTTCAGATCAGTCGGCGGTCCGAATTCTGCTACAACAAATTACCACAACTACAATGAATGCAAGGGTATAGATTTAGTCACCCGGTTGTTAGCCCAATTTCGACATTAGTGTACAAAAGTGATGAGCATTCCGTATTCCCGTTCCTCTTTGGAAGAGCATTGCGTGTGATATACATTCGTATATAAATACGAATTTCGAATCGCAAAAGGCTCAGCTTGTCAAGAGCCAACTTATAAAACTAAACAATAAATCTGTTTTTACCGCAGTTAGTTACTCTATACTCAATATAAAAGCCAAATAATATATAAAAACAACAGATAGTGCTCCAACTTTATTTAATAGCACGATAAAATTACCGCTTAAAACAAAATCTCAACTTCATCGGTGGATTTGTATCAATCACTCGACTAACCGCTTTCATTAAAAAATCACTTCAAACGCACAAACATTTCTTATATGCAGAAGCTGTCTTTCTTATATTCATTTAGCACCAATTTGTTTTTCTTTGCGATTTTCAGAAACAGCTAAAAAACATAATTAACCGATCAGTGTACAACGGATGCTCGTGTCGTGGCTGTGTCATAAACAATACTACAAATAAAAAGACATACCCTCCCAACCGGCGGCTCCAAAGTGTGCTGTTTGCTGAACTATTCGCCGGTTGGTTGGTCAAGTCAACAGCATGAACGAGTAGGTGATTGAATTTGAATATTTATGAATTGTTTGGTAAGTTGCGTTGAATAAATATAATTTTATATTTTTACACCCATGCAACATGTTGCTACAGAGTATTATAGTTTTGTTCACCTAACGGTTGTTTGTATCAATTAAAACTAATCGAAATAGATATGGAATTATATACATATATATACGATACGGGTTGAATTCCGAGTGGCTGTCTGTCTGTCCGCCCGTCTGTCTATGCAAGCTGTAATTTGAGTAAAAATTTAAATATCGTACTGAAACTTGGTACACGGTTTCCTTGGCAAAAAATAAAGGGCGAAGTCACAGATGGGCGTAATCGGACCACTGCCACCCTACAAAACGGCGGTCAATGAAAACCTATAAAGTGCTATAACTAAGCACTAAATTATGATACAATTACTAAGCACAGTCGATCGCAGTAGCAAGAGGCTAAAACTTTTGAAAAGTCCACTTAAGATACAAAAACCAAAATCGCTCTGGACAAATCACTTGAGCATCCCTACCGATGAAATCGGATGATAACCCTGTCCACTCCCCATATAACGGGTTTATTGAAAACTACTAAAAGTGCGATAAATCCATAACTTAATGCGCCAGAAACATTATATTTTACCCACGCGGGAGCTGTTTAGGAGCCGGTGTCAAATTTGTTCAATGGGTTTGGCACCGCCCACATTTAGGTGAAAACCCATATCTCTAGACCTACTTGACCTATATCGACCACATTTGATCCGTAATATTATCATTCTTGCATTTCAATGCGAAAATGAGCGAAATCGGACTACAACCACGCCTACTTTTTATATAACACAAATTTAAATTCTATCTGATTCTTATCTATCTATACATATCAGGATAAAACTTTGGTAATATAATGCGCTTACAGTAGGCCTCGTTATGACCAAACATTTTCAAAATCGGACTACAACTGTTCAAGGCCCAGATACCGAATATATGAACCCGGTTACTACAGCAAACATTTTATCCAAAATATCAGTCAATCTGTGATATATTGAAATTCGGGGAAACCCTTTCCTGATAATAGTATGTTTGTATGTCAAAAATGGGTTGAATCGGATGAGGGTTCTCTTAGCCGCCATATACCTACTTAATACAAAGATTTTGAACTTCCAGTTTACTTTGTACCACATACCAAGCATTTCGGTCATTATGTGAGCTATCTTAATGAAAACTAATAGCAATGTATCTTTGTGCTCGAAATGTATAACATCGGTTGAAAACTTGCTCTAGCCCCCATATAACTAATATCACGTTTCTCGAACAAGCGGCTGACTTTACTCCATATATATTAATGTAGCTTAATGAAACTCAATGAACATATAACCCCCACTCCTATATATTACATATAATGATTTTCGTTTTCTAACAAGCCTTATGCCTAAAATGTCATCCAGTGTGTGAGTTATATATTTATAAAATTGTTTGAAAATATATTTTCAAGTATACCTGTGCAATGTAAAAATTGAATCAATCCCTTTTTCTGCCCAAAATATTGCATACATAATGATTTCCGACTTTCCACCTCACTTTAAACTGTACAGGTAGGTTGAAATGTGTGATATTTTAATAAAACTAAATTAGACTAACTAGACCTTGGTCTTAACCTCATATCCCTAATATAACGAATTTCGATCCTCTGGTTAACGTTTGCCACTTAAACTCAATATATCAAATTTAGCTTCTTCGGTTAAGTTTATATCATATTGCATTTTTTGCAACATTTTTTAATATAAAGTTTTGCCAACACTTATTAGTATTTCTTCGGCTTTGATCCTTGCAAGTGGCAAGAGTATAAAATGTTCAGTTGCACCCATAGTTAGCCCTTCCTTACTTGTCCATTTTTGTTTTTGTAGATCTGTTTTAAAATTTTTTTTTTTTGGCTTTTTCTCCTCCATGCCTTTACATGATCACATCATTTTTTCAACATTAGCTCTTTGCCCTATTGAAAGTGATTTAATATGCAAATCTGCTGTAATTAAGAGTTATAGTACAATTAAATGGCAGTTATGAATGTCCACCGCGCATGTGTGTGTGTTTAAAGCTTCCTCACGAAGCTGTGAATATTAGATTATTATACGAAAACTACAGAAATTAAATGCTTAAACATAGTTATAAATTATATTTAAATAAATATTAAACATTTAACGTTCAAAAGAAACTTGATAATAAAGAGTTTCATTGTTACTGAGCAACTATGAGGATTAACATTCGTATACATATAAATTTTATAAAGTTTATTAATATATTTTGATCAAAATGGTGTGATTCATTTTTTGTATGGTGATATACAATTATCAATATTAGAAATAGTCTAATTTACTTCCTTGAAAAGAATATATATCATACGAAAACTTAGCAAATATTTATAACCACTGACAACTTTTTCATTAACTAATGAATCACCCAAAGGCAGCAAGTTTGGCGAATAACAAATCCATCAAAATGAAAATGTACTTCATCGCTTAGGATAATTTTTTGTGATATGAAATTTCAGAACTGCGTCCGCCAAGCTTTCATTATTTTTAAAAAATTGTTCAATTATGAAGACACGTTGTCCATTTTTACTAAGCCTAAACTGTCAGCTGTCGATTTGTGTTTTTTTTTTTTGAGGGCTGTCAACACTTTAAGTCTTGCGTTAATTTTGGGGCACCCTTTATACAATGAAACTCTATAAGATTGCTTGGAATTTATTTTTCTAAAAAAATATTCCTCCTAGAGAGAAAATTTTTAAGAAATTTCGAATAATCGAAATCAGTTGTTTAAACGAAAAATAGTTTCGTTTTGAATCGTTTGGGAAAACTGAAAAAATTCAAACTTTATATAACTGATCAAATTTGATATGAACTAATCCATTTAAATAAACTTCACGCGCAACCGGAATCGATAAAAAAGTTGTATTCTACAATTTGTCTGGCGCTTTTTGCCGTATTACATAAATATAGCAGAGGATCACAACATCTCTCCGGGACCGACTCAAGACATTTTAGTTAATGTGCTGAAGAATATGAGGTCGAAACTGTGCAACAAAAAATGAACCGAAATCGAAAAAACCCATCCGAGACTTATAACAAGTGTGTGGAAAATGGGTTATGCGTTGCCATGCTTGTATCGAGGAGTCTATTTTGAAGACCATAAAAAAGTTTTGTATTAGAATACGTGACAATGTGTTTGCTTGTGTATGTCTTGCGTATTTAAGTTCCCAAAATTCTCGTAAGGAATCTTTTAATTTACTCCATTTACTATCAAGTCAGGCCGATCAATATTAGAAGATTAATGTTTTGTTTTTCTTTTTATTTTCGATGTATTTCTTATTTATTTGCTTTTACAGTTCCTTTGTTAGGTGTTAGTTTACAGCCTGCTGTAGGCTGATCCTTGCTATTTTTGCTAAACCAAACCTTGTCGAGAAATCAGTATTTCCTTTCACATTTTGCTTACCACCAGACCGAATTAGCATATTTGATGAATGCAGATCTGTGTAACCGTGGCGAACATTTAAGTTAAGGTTAATGATCTCAATATTGTTGTTTTCGTATAAATCATTTATGTCTCGGTACAAAGAGTTTGAAATATTTCATTAAAAATAAATTTAATTAAAAGTGAAGTGAAACCAAATAAAAAAGTATATTCGTATCCAATACTATTAAAACAAATTGAATTTATGAAATGCAATTTTGAAATATTTTTATGGTTGTGGGTAACATATTATATCAACACTCAAAAATTATAAGCATTAAACTAAGCAAAAGAAAATATTTTCTACAATAGATGAAAAGCTATTTTAAAATAAACTGGAAATTAGTATTGATTTAAAAATTGTAACAATGCTCATATCATCCAAAATGTTTACAAAAGCTAGCACGTTTTCAGCAACATGTTGCCAGCAACACAATTGTTATCAACACGCTGAGAGCAATTGTGAGCAACTGATAAAAACAAACAAAGTCGAAAGCTCTTCAGTCGCTGCCGGCGACAGTCAATACTAAAATTTACAGTATGTTTTTTGTAACGCGAACGCCACAAACGGTAAGCAAAAAAAACAACAAAGCTAAGCAAGCTGAAATGAGAAATTGGAGACAACGAAAACGAAGCAACACTTTAATGAGCATACGACAAACCAACGGAAAAGACACCGATCGCGTGCATTAGCATATTCCGATCGATACTTGCGATCAGCGACGCGACGCTGCGGTGGGCCATTTCGCGCTTAGTGATCGTCGTCGATGTCGTCGGTGTGCCTTCTCCGCTGCGTTTTGTGCGCTTAATTTCACTCTTCTTTTTTTTCGGCCACACACTTTTCAATGGAATTGATTTGTTGGGTGATATAAAAGCGTACGACAGCCGCGTACGGCCAACCATAAGACGCCTTCAAGTCTAGCTGACTGGACACGAACGACGAGAGTAGATATTGGGATTACATTGTCTGTCTTCGTTGCGTTCGAATAAATATCTGGCGTATCAAAAATATCAAATTACTGATTTGTGAAGAAATTTGAAAAAAGCATTTTTAAAAAATTAATTGAAAACTGGTGAAAGAATTATTTGTAAGAGTTAAAAACCAAGTTTTTGAAACCAAAAATTTAAGTGTGTTCAAAATTAAAAAAAAGCAAAAGCAAAATTGATATTGTTTATTTTGTAAACCTTTGTCTTTAAGTGCTAAGAAAAAAGTCATATAGCGCAAAGTGCTGTAGTCATACAAAATAAAAGTTAAAAAGTGTTTGTTTACTTACACAAAAAAATTAACTCCGTACAAGTGTTCGAAGTCAGCGTTGAAGGCGTGCGGAAAATCTGAAAATACAACAAAAAGAAAATTTGTGGAGAAAGCAGCAGCAAAAGTGTTTGACATCAAGCAGTGAAGCTTGCATTTTTTTAATAAAAAGAAGAAGCAGCAAAGCGTAAAATATATTTATAATGGAAATATTGCCGCAAAAATATCTACTACATGCAGCGCTATTGCTGGTGTCCTGCAGCGTGGTCTTGGCGTGTCGCGGACAATTATTGGGTAAGTGCGAAAATAGCTATAAGGTATGATAAACATAGGGATTACACCCTGGAATGCCCTGTTAAAAGCTCATATTTTTTATTCTTAGAGTAAAAGTGGGTTTGAAGTTTATTTTTCAGAAAAAACCTTGTTTGTTTAATTTTCATGACTTGGAGTAGATGTGGTCCGATTATAAAAAATTATCAAATTTCTATTTAAAGTATACGTTATTATACAAGTATATATACGTTAATATATTTTTTACAAGAAGAAGTTAATTATTTTGTTATTACATTATTTAGTGAATATAAAAAAAATTAGAAATTAAAAAAAACTTAATTTCAAATTAAAAAAAGTAAACTTTCAAAATCTAACACCAATAACTATTTTTTTTATTATTTCAAAATATTATCACCTACAAAAACGTATGTAAAATAAATATAAATAAATAAAAATTAATTTAATTTTCTATACCGTCTGAATACATATGGAGCCACACATTAAAAAAAAAATAATACGAAATGTCTTTAGTATTTAATTTTTTTTATTTTTAGAGAACTTCCAGTAAAATATATATTATTCTTAAAAGAACACTTAATGTATTTTTTATTTAGCTTTTTTTTTGTTTAAATAATACCAATTTCTTAAAAAAAAACTTCTTTGGTCCTTAGCACAATTATTTAAAAGCACAATTTAGCAAGATAAATTCAAAATTATTATTTTAAATCAAATTTTTAGATTGACACAATGTTCTTTTTTACTACACTTTACAAACATACTACTATTTTTCAGCAGATTTCTGAAGTTTTCATAAATTAATAATTTTTCAATTGAATATATTTTTTTCACGAAAAGATCATAAAATAAAATAAAACAAAATTAGTAAAAGATGAATCTGTGAAAACTTCTATACATTTTTTGAGATTAAAAGAAATTTAAAAAAAATTAATAACTTAGTTTTAGAACTTATTAAAATTTTAATAATTTAATTTACATAAAAACCAAAAAAAAAAAACAAATGCATTAGTATCAGTAATAAAAAAGAAAAATTTAAAAATCTGTAATAATTTATAGTGTTTACAAAATTGTTAATAAAGTGTAAAGTAATAATTTTATAACAATGCATTTAGCCAAACGTTTTCTGCATCCATAACACTTTTCAGTCTCACTAAAACTAAATTCAATTTTAATAAAGAACTTTAATAGAAAACTTTAAGCGACCCAGAGAGATAATAATCAATTTAAAATGCATAATTCCTATTTTTTGCATGTCACAAATTTATGTTTACTAAAGCGTTTAAATTGAAATTAAGTTCAACTTGATTTGAAGAAAAATTGTGTTTTATACAGAAACCAGCTTCTGAACGACTCATCAAAATAAATCGCCCGAATTTATCACTGCAATGTGCAGATAAAATCAATATTGGCTATAAAAAAAAACCAGCCAATGAGTTCTAGGCAGCAAGCGACAGCCAAAAAGCCGGCTGTTTAGTATTGATTAAGCCTAGCTTAGCAGGCGCGCACAAGCCAAAGCGCTTAGACAGCGTGACATGTGCTCTCGTGTGTTGGGTGACATTTAAGTATTCTAAAATTTCGCAGTTACACAATTCATGAGTTTTAGCTGATTTTTTTTATTCCTAAATTAACAGGTTTTGCTAAATATACCAATTCCCCAACACATTCGCCTCCCAATGTGCGTAATATGTGTGTACATATGTATGTGTAGCCACTCAGTAACTGTGTTAATACCGAGCTGTGACAATCTTTAAATTACCTTCATTTTATGCTTTGAAAATATATATCGTTTCATTTGGTATTCAGTTCGCCCGAGTTGTCAAACTTATTTCTAATTTTTATTTTTTTTTGAAGTCATTCTATTTTTTGTTATATTTAAATTTATTTGTTTCCACTAATTTTATTCTCTTATTTGGCTTATATTAATGTTGCTCTGCTCTTGGCTTTCATTTTATTGACACATATTGTATATGTATCTGTCTAATTGGTTCGACCACTATCTAATCAAGTCTGTGGGCAATTTCTATAGTAAAACCTGTGATCTATTTTGGGAATAAAAAATTTCTGTTTTTATGTATTGATGTTTTGTTTTTTAAATATGTCGCAGATATCGTAAAGCTGATCCAATTCGTTCAAAGATCCCGTGATTTTGCGATTTCTGAGTTTTAATCTCAACATTTCAATATTTGTTTTTCACTTGGTACTCTGAAAAATATGTTCTAAGAAAGTCTCCCCAAGTATGTGCTCATAAATGTAACGGAAAGGTACTCCGCCTTACAGTTTTAAATTCTTTTTCTTATTTTCAGATGGAAAAATTCAAATCTCGCCTCCAGCTACTTGAAAAAATATCTCGCTTCATAGATTTTGTAGAAAATTGAATGCTACATAAAAAAGTTCTCAAACGATTTTTTTGTAAGCCTAACAGCTTAAAATATTTTATCGGTTGAAGTTTGATTATTTAAGGGAAATTTTTTTTCTTATGAATTTTATAGCTCAATGAAAAACGAAAATATTATAAATCGGAAAACTCATAGTTTCTTAGACTTGAAAAAATTTCCCTAAAAATACACTTTTCATACACTTCAAACACAACAATGGCACGTGTCTCAAAATAATAAAATCCTCACTGCTTTATATTGTTCATGAGCAATTACAACAAAGCATGTGCCCAAAATTTATATAATCACGTTTTTCAGTGTAAAAACTCACAAAATATACGCAACGGCATGACTTTAAATATATATATACACACACGAATATTGTTTTATATATACATACTCATGTACTTCTATATATTATACAAAATTATATATCTTTTCATACATAAAGGTATGCGATATTTTCTGAAAGTGACATATTTCATGCATTTTTTATATCATATATCGCATGCCTTGTACAAGGTCAGCTGAAACATCTATTCTTTTTACTAAATCGATCAATACAATAAAAACTACAATAGCAACAAGGTAGTACAATTGAAAAAAATTTTATTGACGCCAATTTGTCGCAGCTCTTGTTTCTTTTTTCTCTCAGCGCATACAATTTATTTCCAACGAAAGTACTTTTTATCGAATTGCATGCGAACTTTTTTAAGGCGATTCTCTTTAATTTTTAACCGTGCTACCCGCTTGCTATTGCTTAATATTCCGCAACTATTAATATTCCAAGCGCACCAATTATTTTGAGGCGTAAATCTACAACTGGTTAGAATGAAAATATAATATTTTTTGTCACTTATCATGATGAGCAGCGTTCTCTGGCTATATTTTACGGTTGTACCGAAACATGCTACTTGATATTTTTTTTTAAATTTTGTATCTGCGATTTGATTGATTTGATAATACGCTTGCTTAGCATACACTCACGTTTCGCCAGTTCGGCGCGCTGTGGCATATTAATTAATGGGTCACAGAAAAAAAGGAGACCTGCATAATTCGTGAAAATAAGAGCGAAAAATGTTGTTAAAATATTTTATTTTATATAAATTTGTTTTTTGTTTCTTCTATTTTGCTGCCTGCGCTTGCCAGTATAGTAAATATATGCCACTTTAGTAAAACATAAAGTTTATTGACTCAACGTCGCATATTTACATTTAAGTTTTGTTTGGGAATATTGCAAAGTGGCCAACTGGCAATTAAATTATGTCAACGAAGCCCCTAGCTGTTTTAAAAAAAATATTTGTAAAAAAATACTCGCCGTTTTAAAATTAAAAACAGTGCTGGTCTAAAAAATAACTTTTTTTTCGACATATACTATTGGTATATACATACATATTGGGTAAATAGCGCCTTTTTGACATCAGGCCAACCGGTCATATTAAGCTTAACGCGTTTGCGGTTAGAAAACTTAATTTGCTAGCTTTTAAGTTGATTTAGTTGCGCCTAATTTATGCAAGCGTTTTGATAATATTTTAAAAAAGTTAATTTATTTTCTCCTTAAAGAAAAAATCAATTTTTAGCAAATCAAGACGCTCCCTTAAGATGGTAATGAAATCATGTGAGTAAAAATAAATGTGACTGCTGTAGGGAGCAAATTAAACTGCTATACGAATTAAGAAATATAAATAAAAATAAAATAATATATAAACATATATGAAAAAATTTTAAAAAGTAGGTGTGTTCTTAACACCGCATAAATTTATATATAATGTGAAGTAAATATTTGCTAGTTTAGAATATATTTGCTTAAAGGCACCGCTTGGACATTTCAGCGAAATATGTGAATTATGCGCTGTCATATTTTATGTTGGCATAGATTTAATTAATAAGCAATTTTTATATTAATTTTTTTGTTTATTTTTCTCTTTTTTGTCGATCCATCGGACACTCCTAGCACTTAAAAATATTAAAATATATTCTGAAATATGTAAATACAATAAAAATCAATAACTTTCTGTTACGCTCTTAATCGATTTGTTATAAGCCATGCACGTCTGTAAGCCAATTATGCTAACAGTTTAATTTTGATTAATAAATTAGTTGCTTTGGCGACAAACAGCTTTTGGGTTGGTGGTGTGCAAAAATATGTCATATTATGTTGAATAGAAAAAAATAAAATAAAACAAATAGCGGTGTTATTTACACTAAAAAAAAAGAGAAAACTAATTTTTGCTGAGGGAATTCTTGATGAAATCTTATTCCATATCCATTTCTAAAAAGACAAACTTAACCAATGTTCATCAATTTTGGGATTCATACTTTTTCTTCCATCATGAGAGCTATGTTCCTTGAGTTAATTTTAAAACCCATTTTGTAATAATATGAAGAGGTTATATGGAGTCGCTATTAGCATATTATTGCAGGCTGTACCATTAATATATTTAATTTCGAAAAGTATCTGTAATTAAAATTTCATTGCATCCATTCACCGTTTTCCGTAAAAAATGCCAAGAAATACTATTTTTTTGACCTCAAAGACCTTACCTCTCTAGTATTGAATATTTTGGTCACTAGTGTAGCCTTAGTTAAATATGTTTAGTTATCAAATATACTACTTACTCGATTTGC